CCAGTTTTCTTTCTTGTGTGTATCTTAGAAGTCACCACTCCATCCTCACAATATGTTTAACCTCTGACCTTTGGGGGAGAAGAGAGTTGCTGGAGATTGAGTTCAATCACCAATGGTCAATAATTTAATCAACCATATCTACATAATGAGGGTTCCATAAAAACTCTTGAACAACCATGTTCAGATGTTCAGAAAGCTTCCAGGTTAGGACACATATGGGCTCTGGGAAGGTGGTGTTCCCTGAGACAGCATGCAAACCTTGAATTTTAATAATCCTAGAACATATAAAACAATCTTTTTAAAAAATGTGTTCAAAGACTTACACTGCCTAACTTTAAGGTTTACCATAAAACTACTGTAATTAAGACAGTGTGGTATTGATATGAACATTGTGCAATCAATTTTTAATTTAAGGATCAAGGAAAAATTTTCCTTTTACTCTCTGAAGGTTCACTGAAAAATCAACTCAAAAAGACAGATTAATTGGAGAATATCCTTAATTTATTAACTCATGCATGGGGCAGAATCACGCAATAATTACCCCACCACACAATGGACTACAGAGAGTTAGTACCCTTCTTCTTAGGGGAAAGGGAAATGGAGAAGTATGAATGAATTTAGTGGGGGTAGTAAAGGGTAGTAAAGGGGGTAGTAAAGAGGAATTCCATGGGCTCGAAGAACATACAATAGCCTGGGACAAAGTCTGTGGGGCCGAAAGAGAAGAAAATGATCTGTGACAAAAATCTGTCCAAGTGCACCAGCAGACTTTTGTCTCTCTTCCTGCAATACGAGTTCAGTGAATGAAAACTCAGTAAAGGGGCCAGAGGTCATTGTTTTCTTCTCTAGTGGGTCCAGACTTTAGGCACATAAGGTAACTTCAGAGAACAATTGCACCCAGTGCTTTGGGAAAGACAGAGGACTGAGGGATGGTGGAAGGAGGAGTCACAGAGACCTTGAGACTTCTTCTTCAGTTCAGCATGTCAGCGTGGCTTATTTTGGGTGCTGGTTTCTGAGTCCCAACACCAACAAAGTCATAAAAGCAGTCTAATCTGGAGAGGAAAGTCTCCTCAGCAAATTGCTACTTTTCAAAATGAAAAGTCAAGCATGACACTGCTTTCACTATGAACAAAATTAACTGGATATCTACCATAATTCTAATAGAAAAAGCTAAACCATGAAATTTTTAATAAAACACCTTAGATCAATATGTTCACAACAGGAGAGTATACGATGTTTAGTCAAATAGGACACAGAAAGCAAAACACTAATAAAAATACTTACAATTGTAACTTCATCAATATTATAAATATCTGCTCATCAAAAGATTCATTAACAAAATGAGTAGGTAAATCACAGACTGAGAGAAAATACTAGCAAAATTCACATGTGACAAGGATGTACCAGAGATATATAAAGAAACCCTGCGACACAATAGCAAAATAGGCAACCAATAAAAAACAGATAGATATACACGTACATGAAAAGTAGCCAGTATGACTAGACATCAGGAAAATACAAATGCAAAATACAACATGATACCACCACACGCCCCCTACAAAGAAAAAACTTAAACAAAGCAACCACAAATATTGGCAAGGGTGTTGAGCAATCAAATGTCTCATAAATTGTATGCGGGAGGGGAAAAAATGATACAATCACTCTTGCAAAAGGTCTGGGAGTTTCTTATAAAACTAAATATATACCTACTCTCTGACCTAGATAATTCACTACTAGAAGTTTACTGAAAAGGAATGACAAATGTGTACATAACAGCACATGTAAGAAAATATTCATAGTAGGTAGCTTAAGTATCTATAAATAATTGACTAGAAAACTGGCATATTCATGGAATAAAATAATGTTTTTAAAGAATTAATTCTGATATAGGCAACAAAATGAGTATGCATCTCAATAAAAGAAGTTCATGCAAAATAGACTGATTTCGTTTATATGTAGCTCTGAAATAAGTCAAATTAATTTATGGTGGATAAATCCAAAGTGTGATTGCCTCTGGGAAGAATCATGAAAAAGAGAATCTATTGGAATTGGTATAATAGAACATTTGGGGTGATTTCAGGTTACAAAGATACATGCATTTGTTAAAACTCAATGAATGTGCTGTACGATATTTTTAAATATTGAATTTAAATTTCACATCAAAAACACAATTCTGAGAACTATAGTTATGGTATACACAGTGAAGTGGTTAAGACAGGAGCATCCTGATGTCTGTAATTTAATCTGAAACACTTCAAATAACTAAGATAGATTAATGGATGGATAGTTGACGTATTAGTCAGGGTTCTCCAAAGAACCATTATCTGTTGTCTGTTATCTATCTATCTTTCAACTGTCTATTGAGAAATTAAGAAATTGAGTCACACAGTTGTAGGGGCTGGTAAGTCTGAATTCCCCAAGGTGGGTCTTCAGTCTAGAAATTCAGACTCCTTGAGTAAAGCAGATTTAAATGCTAATTGCATCTAAAATATACAGATTTAAATGTTAATCACATCTAAAATATACTTGCACAGCAACATCTAGGCTGGTGTTTGACCTAGCTGGGTACTATAGCCTAGAAAAGTTGACACATAAAACTAACGCTTATAGTTCAACCTTGACACTCATACACAACTCCTCAAACCATACTGAATCTTCAAATAAGGAAACTAACAAGCGTTATTTTCTCTTTGATATCCCATAACTTACATACTGTGATGTAAAAGTAATACATCTTATCTTACATCATAAGAGGATAAGAGAGGGAAGACATCAAAGATATTTGCTTAATATGTGTATACATATGCATATATGTATATGTAATACATAAAATACATATGTAATATACATATAAATGTTTATTTGTCTGTACATATATGCATTCATACAAACATATTCACAACAAAATAAAGAAGAAATATAACAATACAGTCCTCATTTCTGTAACTAGTCACTTGATTGTAGCTGGTATTTATAACTGCCTTCTTTTAGATTCTATGTACTTTTTGCCTTTGCAAGCATCTTGGTTGTAGTTCTTCACCTGGTGAAGCAACCCAGACCTTTATTCCTGAAGGATCTGAGCCATTAATAGTCCTGTCTCAATCAAGTTGTTGTAGTTTTCCCCTGACTTTAATCACAGAGCATGATAGTACTGTGTAGAGTGTTGGAGTAGCAGTCCAATTTGTCCGTTTTAGTCAGTATCGATTACCCCAACCACTATAGTAATTCTCCTTTTTACCTTTTGATCCAGAGGAACAAAGAGCTCAAAGTGGCCAGGTGGCAGTCTTAATTTCCAGTTTAAAAGAAATGTTGTTTTGTCTCCTGGCCTAAGCATTACTCCCTCTGGAACCAAGACCTCTAGGCAAGCAGAGCTTAAAATCATGAGGACAAAAATTGTTTGTCAGTGGATCACTAAGAATAATAATGAATGATGCAAATTCCATTTCCATCCTTTGGTTCCTGGACCCATGAATCCTCACCATATATTGGACATTGATTCAGAGTCTATATAGCATCATAGAGAACCTGTCTCACAACCCTTCAAGGTTTTACCACCAAACTGATACTGATACTGAGTCTTCCAAAGGCTATTCCACTATTCTTACAAGCCAACTGCTTCAGGATCATGGGGAACATGGTAAGGCCAGTGAATTCATAATTCATGAGCATGAACTCATTGGCACACTCTGTTTGCTGTGAAGTGAATTCCTTAATCAGAAGCAAAGCTGTGTAAAGTAACATCATGGTGGATAAGGCACGCTGTAAGTCTGCAGATGTTACTTTTGGTAGAACCATAACGTGCGGAGAAGGCAAATCCACATCCAGAGTAAGTGTGTATTTCAGTAAGAACTACCTTCCATGACAGAAGTGTTGCAGTGTAATCAACCTGCCGCCCGGCAGCTGTCTCATCACCCTGTGGAATGCTGCCATATCACGGGCCCAATGTTTGTCTCTGCTGCTGGCAGATTGGGCAATCAGCAGTGACTGCAGTCAGCCTTGAAGAATGGAAATTATGCAAAATCTCCATCCCTGCCACCATGGCCACCCGTTTGGGAGCCCACTGTGTGATGACTGGGTGACTGGGGAAAGAGGCTGACTGGTATCCACACACTGTTGACTATTAAAGTTTCTCTGCTGACGTCACTCTTTGGTGAGCACTCATATAACACAATATCTTCAGGTTTTCAGCCTGTCAAGACAGGTCCATCCACATAATTCTTTCACAGACCTCCTTGTCACCAATTGTCCAATCATATTCATTCCAAGTCTCTCACCATCCACCAAACCACTGGCCACAGCCCATGAATTGATAAAAAATCACCCATTTGGCCATTTCTGTTTGAGAAATTATCTGAGTACAGGTGTGTGCCACCACGCCTGGCTAATTTTTTAATTATTTGTAGAAACGAGGTCTCCCTGTGTTGTGCAGGCTGGCCTCAAACTCCCAGACTCAAGAGAACCACCTGTCTCGGCTTCCCAAAGTACTCGGATCACCAGCATGAACTGCATCACCAGCCTAACATCTGAAAGTTGTTGAGCACTGACTTGAAATAGTGACACTTTTGCTTTCTGATGGTCCAATGTACACAAACTCTGTTTCAGGCATAAAATTATTTAAAATATTATATAAAATTACCTTCAGGCTATTTAGATAAGGTGTATATCAAACATAAGTTTTTTATTATTATTATTATACTTTAAGTTCTAGGGTACATGTGCACAACGTGCAGGTTTGTTACATATGTATACATGTGCCATGTTGGTGTGCTGCACCCATTAACTCGTCATTTACATTAGGTATATCTCCTAATGCTATTCCTCCCCCTCCCCCCTCCCCACAATAGGACCCGGTGTGTGATGTTCTCCTTCCTGTGTCCAAGTGATTTCATTGTTCAATTCTCACCTATGAGTGAGAACATGCAGTATTTGGTTTTCTGTTCTTGCAATAGTTTGCTGAGAATGATGGTTTCCAGCTGCATCCATGTCCCTACAAAGGACACGAACTCATCCTTTTTTATGGCTGCATAGTATTCCATGGTGTATATGTGTCATATTTTCTTAATCCAGTCTGTCAGTGAATTTTATGATTAGACTTGAATCCCATCTTCCAACTCCCTCATTATGTGTATGGATATATTCCAAAATCCAAAAATAAATCTTAAATCCAAAACACTTCTGCTCTCAAGCATCTATCTAAGGGATATTCAACTTGTATACTGTAACTATACAAAAAATATATATCATAAATGCATTGTCAATTAAGGCTTTTATCTCCAAATTAGGAAGCTGGCATATCATTTAAAAATTTCTTGGGAAAGAAAGTATAATTAGATGGATCATTTTCCAGTTTGCTTGAATTTTAAAACCAGAAACTATACATCCACCTTCAGTAGAGATAACTAGTCACAGGTTAAATTAACTAGTGTGTTGCACACAAAGTATAAGCACAAGTTTATTTTCAATTTTTACTAATCTTTAAACAGAATCCTTCAATCCTCTACTGGCTAGAAAATTGAAAAAATGGACAATTATATATGATTCATTTCATCTTTTTTTTTTATTTTGTGACACTTTCAATTTTCTTCTCAGAAAAGCCAATGTCAAAAACTATTAATTTCTGAACTATTACTGTAAGTTTATAAGCAAAAATCTCCAGTACACAGAAAAAGAAAAATTGAAGTAAATATCAGGTTAGCAAAGGGTCTGGTCACTGGTCTTATACAGTTTATTGAGTAGATTACACCTCAAAAATGAAATAGGTAATTGGATGGGGAGATGTTGGCATTTGAACTTTGGTGAGCAGGGTTGGAATTGAAGATTCTTGGACATTTATTTGTGGAGATTTATTGGTAACCAAAAGCCAAATTCTGTAAAATATTTAAAGAGGTTGATTCTGAGCCAATATGAGTTACCATGGCCTGGGGTACACTCTCAGGAGGTCCTGAGAAAGTGTGCCTGAGGTGGTCAGGTTACCGTTTAGTTTTATACATTTTAGGGAGACAGGAGTTACAAGCAAAGACACAAATCAATACATGGAAAGTGCACATTGGTTCAGCTTAAAGAGGCAAGATCTTGAAGCAGGAGAGAGTTTACAGGTCATAGGTAGATTCAAATATTTTCTGATTGGCAATTGGTTGAAAGAGTTAAGCTTTGTCTAAAGACTTAAGAAGTCAGTAGAGAAGAATGCTTTAGCTAAAATAAAGGGGTTGTGGAAACCAAGGTCTTTGTTATGTAGACAAAGTCTCATAGATGGAACCCCTCAGACAGCGTGTGATCTACACCAGAGTCAGGTAGGAATTTGGACTCTTATTGCCACAATCAGTCTGTTTCATCAGTCTTATGACTCATCCTGGTCACTTGTGCCTAAACTCCAAAAGGGAAGGGGTATAACAAGGTGTGTCTCATCTCCCTTCCTATCATGGCCAGAATTCAGTCTTTCAAGATCATCTGAGGTCTCCTTGGCCCAGAAGGTGGTCCATTCAGTTAGTCAGGGGGATTAGGAATTTATTTTCATTTTACATTATTGTCCTAAGAAAGTTTTTTTATCACCTCCATGTCCTCAAACTTTGCAAGCAAAAACACATAGAATATTTTAGATCATTGTTTCAATTTCTATGATTCCACCTAAACCACAGAGATGCCACATTTCAGAGTTGCCTAAGGATATATAATAAGATAATATTTCTAAACTTTAGCCAGAAAGGAATGTTTCATGCACTGCTCAGGGTGAAGAACTTCTCCAGAGTCTGCTGTTCTGCATCATCTTCATTGCTACAAGGTGATAAAGCGGCTTGAGGGTTTTAGTGTGGAAGCACAACTTCGTAATCATGCTCATGGGTGCAGGAATAAGGCCTACTAACAGAAGTCCTAAGAAGGGCATATTCTGTCTCTGACCTTTCTCTAAATTCTCTCACTTTCCTTGTGAGGGAGTCAATGTTCTCATAGCCATCATCATTGGAGCTCAGGGAAGATCTCCGATGGGGGATGTGATTAATGACAGTGTAGCACACTTCTTCAGAACCACTGCCATTCTCGTTTTCCTGCCAAGCACAAAGAGAAAAGAAATCAAAGACTCAGGGTCATTCATAAATTGAACTCAGTGTACTACCTTCCCTTCTTCTTTATATACCCAGTGGTGCTCTTACACCTAAGGTATCCAAAACCCAAGCATTCCTATACACCAATAATAGACAAGCAGAGAGCCAAATCATGAGTGAACTCCCATTTACAATTGCTACAAAGAGAATAAAATAGCTAGGAATGCAGCTTACAAGGGAAGTGAAAGACCTCTTCAAGGAGAACTAAAAACCACTGCTCAAGGAAATAACAGAGGAAACAAATGGAAAAATATTCCATGTTCAAGCATAGAAAGAATCAATATCATAAAAACGGAAATACTGCCCAAAGTAATTTACAGATTCAATGCTATTTCCATCAAGCTCCCATTGACTTTCTTCACAGAACTAGAAAAAAACTACTTTAAATTCCATATGGAACCAAAAAAGAGCCTGTTTAGCCAAGACAATCCTAAGCAAAAAGAACAAAGCTGCATAGGAATAGCTCTGGTCTGCAGCTCCCAGCAAGACCAATACAGAAGGTGGGTGATTTCTGCATTTCCAACTGAGGTACCCAGTTCATCTCAGTGGGACTGTTTAGACAGTGGGTATAGCCCACAGAGGGTGAGCAGAAGCAGGGTGGGGCGTCACCTCACACAGGAAGTGCAAGGGATCAGGGAACTCCCTCCTCTAGCCAAGAGAAGTCATGAGGAACCATACCTTGAGGGACAGTGCTATCCAGCCCAGATACTATGCTTTTCCCATGGTCTTCACAACCCACAGACCAGGAGATTCCTTTGGGTGCCTACACGACATGGGCCCTGGGTTTCAAGCATAAAACTGGGTTTCAAGCACAAAACTGACTGGCCATTGGAGCAGACACTGAGCTAGCTGCAGGAGATTTTTTCGTACCCCAGTGGTGCCTGGAACACCAGTGAGAAAGAACGGTTTACTCCCCTGGAAAAGGGGCTGAAGCCAGGGAGCCAAGTGGTCTTGCTCAGTGGGTCCCACCCCCATGGAGCCCAGCAAGCTAAGATCCACTGGCTTGAAATTCTTGCTGCCAGCACAGCAGTCTGAAGTCGACCTGGGACATTTGAGCTTGGTGCGGGGAGGGGCATCCGCCATTACTGAGGCTTGAGTAGGCAGTTTTCCCCTCACAGTGTAAACAAAGCCACAGGGGAATTCAGGCTGGACAGAGCCCACACCAACAGTGCAAAGCCACTGTAGCCAGACTGCCTCTCTATATTTCTCCTCTCTGTGCAGGGCATCTGTGAAAGAAAGGCAGCGGCCCCAGTCAGGGGCTTACAGAAGGGAAGGCTATGAGCGCAGCTTCAGCAGACTTAAATATTCCTTCCTGTCGGCTCTGAAGAGAGCAGCAGATCTCCCAGCACAGTGCTCAAGCACTGCTAAGGGATAGACTGCCTCGTCAAGGGGGTCCCTGACCCCCATGCCTCCTGACAAGGAAACACCTCCCAACAGGGATCAACAGGCACCTCATACAGGAGAGCTCCAGCTGGCATCTGGCAGGTGCCCCACTGGGACAAAGCTTCCAGAGGAAGGAGCAGGCAGCAATCTTTGCTGTTCTGCAGTCTCCACTGGTGATACACAGGCAAAAAGAATCTGGAGTGGACCCCCAGCAAACTCCAGCAGACCTGCAGAATAGGGACCTGACTGTTAGAAGGAAAATTAACAAACAGAAAGCAATAGCATCAACATCAACAAAAAGGACAACCATGCAAAAATTCCATACAAAGGTCACCAAGAGCAAAGACCAAAGGTAGATAAATCCACAAAGATGAAGAAAAAGCAACTCAAAAAGGCTGAAAATTCCAAATACCAGAGTGACTCTTCTCCTCCGAAGGATCACAACTCCTTGCCAGCAAGGGAACAAAACTGGATGGAAAATGAGTTTGTCAAATTGACAGAGGTAGGCTTCAGAAGGTGGGTAATAAACTCCTCTGATCTAAAGGAGCATGTTCTAACCCAATGCAAGGAAGCAAAAGCCTTGAAAAAAGGTTACAGGAATTGCTAACTAGAATAACCAGATTAGAGAAGAACATAAATGACCTGATGGAGCTGAAAAATACAGCACGAGAAGTTCGTGAAGCACACACAAGTATCAATAGCCAAATTGATCAGGCAGAAAAAAAGATATCAGACATAGAAGATCAACTTAATGAAATAAAGCATGAAGACAAGGTTAGAGAAAAAAGAATGAAAAGGAACAAACAAAACCTCCAAGAAATATGGGACTATGTGAACAAAGACCAAACCTACATTTGATTGGTGTACCTGAAAGTGACGGGGAGAATGGAACCAAGTTGGAAAACACACTTCAGGATATTATCCAGGAGAATTTCCCCAACCTAGCAAGACAGGCCAACATCCTAATTCAGGAAATACAGAGAACATCACAAAGATATTCCTTGAGAAGAGCAACCCCAAGACACATAATCGTCAGATTCACCAAGGTTGAAATGAAGGAAAAAATGTTAAGGACAACCAGAGAGAAAGGTTGGGTTACCCTCAAAGGGAAGCCCATCAGACTAATGGCAGATCTCTCTGCAGGAACCCTACAGCCAGAAGAGAGTGGGGGCCAATATTCAACATTCTTAAAGACAAGAATTTTCAACCGAGAATTTCATATCTAGCTAAACTAAGCTTCATAAGTGAAGGAGAAATAAAATTCTTTACAGAGAAGGAAATACTGCGGGATTTTGTCACCACGAGGCCTGCCTTACAAGACGTTCTGAAGGAAGCACTACATATACAAAGGAAAAACCAATACCACCCACTGCAAAAACAAAACAAACCAAAATGTAAAGTCCATCGACACTATGAAGAAACCACTCAACCAATGAGCAAAATGACCAGTTAGCATCATAATGACAGGATCAAATTCACACATAACAATATTTGTTAAATTTACATTTAATTTGTAATAAATGTAAATGTATTACTGTAAATTAATATAAATAATATAAATTATAATTTATTAATGTAATTTGATATAAATAATATAAATTAAATGTAAATTTAATTTTTAATAAAAGTAAATTTATTAAATTTACATTTAACAAATATTAACCTTAAAGGTTAACCTTACATTTACATTTAACAAATATTAACCTTAAATCAAATTCACACATAATAATATTTGTTAAATTTACATTTAACAAATATTAACCTTAAATGTAAATGGGCTAAATGTCCCATTTAAAAGACACAGACTGGCAAATTAGATAAAGAGTCAAGATCCATTGGTGTGCTGTATTCAGGAGACCCATCTCACATGCAGAGACACACATACACTCAAAATAAAGGGATGGAGGAAGATGTACCAAGCAAATGGGAAGCAAAAAAGAGCAGGAGTTGCAATCTGATAAAACAGACTTTAAACCAACAAAGATCAAAAGAGACAAAGAAGGCCATTACATAATGGTAAACAAAATGAAGGCAGAAATAAAGATGTTCTTTGAAACCAATGAGAACAAAGACATAGCATACCAGAATCTCTGCGACACAGCTAAAGCAGTGTTTAGAGGGAAATTTATAGCACTAAATGCAAACAGGAGAAAGCGAGACAAATCTAAAATCAACACCCTAACATCACAATTAAAACAACTAGAGAAGCAAGAGCAAACAAATTCAAAAGCTAGCAGAAGACAAGAAATAACTAAGATCAGAACAGAACTGAAGGAGATAGAGATGTGAAAAACCCTTCAAAACATCAATGAATCCAGGAGCTGATTTTTTTAAAAGATTAACAAAATAGATAGTCCACTAGCCAGAATAATAATGAAGAAAGACAGAATAATCAAATAGACACCCTAAAAAAATAATAGAGGGGAGGTTAACACTGATCCCACAGAAATACAAACTACCATTAGAGAATACTATAAACACTTTTACACAAACAAACTAGAAAATCTAGAAGAAATGGATAAATTTCTGGACACATACACCTTCCAAGACTAAACCAAGAAGAAGTTGAATCCCTGAATGGACCAATAACAAGTTCTGAAATTGAAGCAGTAATTAATTAGCCTACCAACCAAGAAAGCCCAGAACTAGATAGATTCACAGCTGAATTCTACCAGAGGTACAAAGAGGAGCTGGTACCATTCCTTCCCAAACTATTCCAAACAATAGAAAAATAGGGACTCCTCCCTAACTCACTTTATGAGGCCAGCATCATCCTGATATGAAAACTTGCCAGAGACAAAACAAACATAGAAAATTTCAGGCCAATATCCCTGATGAACATCAATGCGAACATCCTCAATAAAATACTGGAAAACCAAACCCAGCAGCACGTTAAAAAGCTTATCCACTATGATCAAGTCGGCTCCATCCCTAGGATGCAAGCCTGGTTCAACATACACAAATCAACAAATGTAATCCATTACATAAAAAGAATCAATGACAAAAACCATATGAATATCTCAACAGATGCAGAAAAGACCTTCAATAAAATTTAACACCACTTGATGCTAAGAGCACTCAGTAAACTAGGTACTGATCAAAGCTATCTCAAAATAATAAGAGCTATTTATGGCACACCCACAGTCAACATCATACTGAATGGGCAAAAGTTGGAAGCATTCCCTTGGAAAACCAGCACAAGAAAAGTATGCCCTCTCTCTCTACTCCTATTCAACATAGTATTGGGAGTTCTGACCAGGGCAAACAGGCAAGAGAAAGAAATAAAGCATATTCAAATAGGAAGAGAAAAAGTCAAATTGTCTCTGTTTGCAGATGACATGATTGTATATTTAGAAAATGCCATAGTCTCAGTCCAAAAACTCCTTAAGCTGATAAGCAACTTCAGCAAAGTCTCAGAATACAAAATCAATGTGCAAAATTCACAAGCATTCCTCTACACCAATAATAGACAAACAGAGAGCCAAATCAGGAGTGGACTCTCATTCACAATTGCTACAAAAAGAATAAAATACCTAGGAATACAACTTACAAGGGACGTGAAGGATCTCTTCAAGGAGAACTAAAAACCACTGCTCAAGGAAATAAGAGAGGACACTAACAAATGGAAAAACACTCCATGCTCATGGATAGGAAGAATCAATATTGTGAAAATGGCCATACTGCCCAAAGTAATTTATAGATTCAATGCTATTCCCATCAAGCTACCATTGACTTTCTTCACATAATTAGAAAAAAGCTTCTTTAAATTTCATAAGGAACCAAAAAAGTGCACATATAGCCAAGACAATCCTAAGCAAAAAGAACAAAGCTGGAAGCATCATGCTACCTCGCTTCAAACTATACTACAAGGCTACAGTAACCAAAACAGCATGGTACTGCTACCAAAACAGATATGTAGACCAATGGAACAGAACAGAGGCCTCAGAAATAACACCACACAGCTACAACCATCTGATCTTTGACAAACCTGACAAAAAGAAGCAATGGGAAAATGATTCACTATTTAATAAATGGTGTTAGGAAAACTGGCTAGCCATATGCAGAAAACTGAAACTGGACCCCTTCCTTACACCTTATACAAAAATTAACTCAAGTTTGATTAAAGATTTAAACATAAGACCTAAAACTATAAAAATCCTAGAAGAAAACTTGGGCAATACCATTCAGGACATAGGCATGGGCAAAGACTTCATGACTAAAACACCAAAAGCAATTGCAACAAAAGCCAAAATTGACAAATGGGATCAAATTAAACTAAAGGGCTTCTGCATGGCAAAATAAACTATCATCAGAGTGAACAGGCAATCTACAGAATGGCAGAAAATTGTTGCAATCTATCTGTCTAACAAAGTGCTAATATCCAGAATCTACAAAGAACTTAAACAAATTCACAAGAAAAAAACAACACCATCAAAAAGTAGGTGAAGGATATGAACAGACACTTCTCAAAAGAAGACATTTATGCAGCCAAAGAAACATATGAAAAAAAGCTAATTATCACTGGTCATTAGAGAAATGCAAATCAAAACCACAATGAGATACCATCTCATGCCAGTTAGAATGGTGATCATTAAAAATCAGGAAACAACAGATGCTGGAGAAGATGTGGAGAAATAGGAATGTTTTAACACTGTTGGTGGGAGTGTAAATTGTAGAAGACAGTGTGGCAATTCCTTAAGGATCTAGAACTAGAAATACCACTTGACCTAGCGATCCCATTACTGGGTATATACCCAAAGGATTATAAATTGTTCTACTATAAAGACATATGCACATGTATTTTTATTGCAGCCCTATTCACAATAGCAAAGACTTGGAACCAACACAAATGCCCATCAATGTTAGACTGGATAAAGAAAATGTACCATAAACACACCATGGAATACTATGCAGCCATAAAAAGAATAAGTTTATGGTCTTTGGAGGGACATGGATGAAGCTGGAAACCAACATTCTCAGCAAACTAACACAGGAACAGAAAACCAAACACTGCATGTTCCCACTCATAAGTGGGAGTTGAACAATGAGAACATATGGGCACAGGGAGTGGAACATCACACATCGGGGCCTGTTGATATAAGGTTTGAAAGGGAATGTGGAAAGCTAAAAATAATTAATCTTTTATGGTGGTCAGTTTATAAGTATAAATTTACTTAATTTCATCTGTTTTTGTCATAATAGCTTTGAAAATTAAAATAATAGGCTGGACACAGTGACTTATGCCTGTTACCCCTGCACTTTGTGGGGCAGAGGCTAGTGGATTCACTTGAGGCCAGGAGTTCGAGATTAGCCTGGCCAACACAGCGAAACCCTGTCTCTACTAAAAATAAAAAATTAGCCAGGTGTGGTGGTGCACACCTGTAAAGCCAGCTACCTGGGAGGCTGAGGCACCAGAATCACTTGAACCCAGGAGGCGGAGGTTGAAGTGGGCCAAGATTGTGCCATTGCACTCCAGCCTGGATGACAAAGTGTGACTCTGTCTCAATAAATAAATAAAATAAATAAATAAATAAAATTAGACTTCAGCAGAATTGAGGCCAAAACAATAAGAACTTGCTACTCATCTAGATCAGTTAAAATACTTTTTGATTTTTTATTTCCTTTCATTTCTGCATTACAATGGCCATATAAATTATTTAAAATATGAACGATTTCTAAAAGTACATTTAGAAATTACAAATGAAGGAAGACAGATGCTACTCTTGAATAAATCATCTGTATTTTGACATTTATCAGACAAACATAATAAAAGTTTGTGTTTTTCTTTTGTCTTGCTTTTTGTTTTCTACTTACCTGATTAGAAATGGATGAAACTTCTTTGCCTGGAATATTAACAAAAGAAAGAAAGAAAGGAAAGCATTGTGAGACTTTTGCAGCATCACAGATTGAAGGAAAAGGTGAAAAAAACAGAGTGTAGAAATAATAAAACTGCAGAGGCCTATTATCGAAACATCTGACATTACCCCGTCTTATAATTGAAGTTCTCAAGGCTGAGTGACAAAATCAAGAAAGAACATGTGTTCTGAGACACCATCAATAGTATGTTCTTTCTGTAAATAAAGCACATTAATGTACTGAATAAAATGGATTTCAAAATTTGGTAATAAAATGTTCATAAATGTGCTGTCAATGCAATATAATAAGCATAAAGAAAGAATGATTATAGCTGCAAATTTAAGATATAAATTTTATGTAAATATTACAGGAAAATTATACAATTCTTTAAAATGAACACTCACTATAGAGGTAGGTACAGAAATAACACAAGTAACGATTTCAAGTTACATACAAATATGCAGATTCATGTTGATTCCATCTGTGAATGGTGAAGCAATTTACATATGTGTGAATCTGAAATCCACTACTAATTTTTTTTTTTTTTTTTTTTTGAGACAGAGTCTGACTCTGTCACCCAGGCTGGAGTGCAATGATGCTATCTCGGCTCACTGCAACCTCCATCTCCCGAGCTCAAGCGATTCTCCTGTCTCAGCCTCCCGAGTAGCTGGGATTACAGGCACCCGCCACCACGCTCAGCTACTTTTTTGTATTTTTAGTAGAGATGGGGTTTCACCATGATGGCCGGGCTGGTCTGGTCTCAAACTCCTGACCTTGTGATCTGCATGCTTTGGCCTCCCAATGTGCTGGGAGAGTCACCGCGCCCGGCCATTCTTGCACTCTTAATACAATCATAATCCAAACATTCTGACATAACAGATTGCAGAAGAGGCTGCTTGGAGTTCTTACTCTTTCATAAAATTGATCCACTCATTCTTGATATATAACGTGATATTTGTATATTATTTTTGAGAGACATTTAAGAAACGCCTGCTGGAAGAAGTAACCAAAATTCTACTGATTTTAATTTATATATTGGTGTTCTAAAAGGACCTCTGAATATTAGCAGGTGATAAAAAGTGTGTTTTTTTTTTTTTTTTGAGATGGAGTCCACCTGTCACCCAGGCTGGAGTGCAGTGTCTGATCTCGGCTCCAGCTGTAAGCCCCCCGCTTCCGGTTCAAGCGATTCTCCGCCTCAGGCTCCCGAGTAGCTGCGATTACAGGCAGACACCACACACGCCCAGCTAATCTTTGTATTTTTAGTAGAGATGGGTTTTCAGCATGTGGCAGGCTGGTCTCCAAACTTCGACTTCATGATCCACCTACTTTGCGCTCCCAAATACTGGGATTACACGGCGCTGAGCCACCCACTCCTGGCCCCTAAAAAGTGTATTATTTTGTTCTCAAGAAGTTGAAAGAAGTTGGTGGTGCACTCCTGTAGTCCCAGCTACTTGGAAGGCTAAAGTAGAAGGATTCCTTGAGCCAGAAATTAGGTTCAGCCTGACAATGTAGCAAGGCCCCTGTCTTTAAAAAAAAAAAAAAAACAGAATTTGCTCTGTTTGCCATAGTATCTAGGTATAGTAATAATGTAATTACTCAAATCCACAGTTATGAATAACAGGGCTCAGCCCCTGTGGACAAGTATATCTAAAGGAACTCTGTTTATTTTTACCCCCAACTTTATTGAGGTATAACTGACAAATAAAAATTGCCTATATTCAAGGTGTGCAATGCGATGATTTGATATATGTATACACTGTGTAATGATTACTACACCAATTAATATATCCATCACTATACATAGCTACCATCCTGTATGAATGTGGGGACATAAGGGCACTTGAGATCTATTCCCTTACCAAATTTCAAATAAAGAATACTATGTTGCTTACAAACAAACAATGGGGAAAGGATTTCCTGTTCAATCGTGGTGCTGGGTTAACTGGCTAGCCATATGAAGAGGATAGAAACTGGACCCTTCCTTACGCATATACAAAAATTAAACTCAAGATGGATTAAAGACCAAATGTAAAACCCAAAACTATAAAAACCCTGTAAAAACCTAGGCAATACCATTCAGAGCATAGGAATGAGCAAATATTTCATGATGAAAACATCAAAAACAATTGTAGAAAAGCAGAAATGGACAAATGGGATTCTAATTAAACTAAAATTTTTCTGCACAGCAAAAATAACTAACAAGATGAACAGACAACTGGTCACAGTGACTCATGCCTGTAA